CCCAAATGAAGTACATTAAACCCGGTCTAACTACAAATAAATGTCAATATACATGTACTTATATGTATATCTATAATTCTGTTTTCTCAAATACAAACCCAGGAAATTGCCCAATTTCTGTATTAGTGCCATTGATTCCATTCTCATCAGGAATAAATGTGAAACTGACGTCATCTACAGTAACCACTTCCTTTCCTGTTCTGCCATAATAACTTGTGGGGCCCTTCATCACCATTTCAATGGTGTAAACATTATCTGCCTCAAATTTCATTGGCGGTTCAATCTTCAACAGATGGACCTTTTCCCTTCCATCAGACACAATTTCTTTATTGGGAATGGATTTTTTCACTGTGCCATCTTCCTTTATTTTCATGTCCACTTTGTAGGTTGCTTGTCTCTGATGGCTCCCATACAGCCAGACTCCATGTAATTTTCCAGAATGACTAGGAATTATTGATATGGAATCAGGATTATCTCTTAAATATGCCTTTCCACTCAAAATACCTCCAAACCTCCATATCGTTATTCTACCCATTTCATCTCTGAAATCATTTGGTAATGGCTGGGCACCTGTTGGCAGTTCTGCAGACTGTCTCCTAGCTGGCTGTGCCCGGTTATTGTTCAGATGGTTATTTCCCCTTGGAGGAATGGGAGTTGGGCCTTGGCGTCCTGTTGCCAGTACATGTTCTGAAGAGCTTGCTGGATCTGTCTCCATTTGAGGTAAGGATTCTGAGGAGGTCAGAACAGATCTTGAGAGATTTTCTGATGTGCTGGTAGAATCTGCTTCATGTGCACTGACAGATCTTTCAAGAGCCAGAGGTGCTGATTGACCTACATTTCCTGCTCTTCCTGCTGGTGCTGAGTGTGATGGTTGTGAATTGCTGACTAACTTTTGAAATACACTGATGATCTGATTTTGCTCTAAAATACCTCTATTTGAAACATTTTTAGTGAAATAACCCAATGACATTTCTTCAAACTTAATGCAATTCACAACTGGGGCAAGTAGGGCTTTCAAGTTTGTATCATTTACTTCCTTTTGCTGTTGTCTGCATTTACTCTCTGCCCAAACAACTGCTACCTCATACTTTTTCTCCTCTGATACTCTCAATTTATCACTTTTCATAATGTCAATTAAACAACTTTGGGGTAATTCTAAAATTCCCTCAGTCTCTAACAAATCATAAGCATATCTATAAAAGTAGTCTAATGCACTATTTTTCACATCGTTGTTTCCCACATCATATGCCATCTTTAGAACGTGACACACATTTTCTCTAGAAAGTTCTGCTTGCATTTTAGAAAAGCATGTTTTCTTTAGATCTTCAATTTTGAATTTACTGGCAGCTTGGAACAGTTTCATTGTTGAGCGATTGTCAAACTCAACATCATCAGTGTATATAAACCTTAAAATATACAAGATAAAAATGTTAAAATATGCACCAGTGATAATATATGATGATTAAAGAAAATAAAAAGAAAATAAATTCAGGATTTATATAATGGTTTCAAAGATCATAATATATATTAGTATCAGTGAATTAATTCATCACTTGACTGACAGTCATGGAAGTTGCTTGTCTTAAAATTAGCTGCAATAATGTAGCCCTCTCCCTTTTTTTTTTCTGGGAGAGGGCTACAACTCCTTAGGATCTCCGTAATGGTGCAAGTGCGGGAGTGATTCACTCCCGCACAGATTTCGGATTAAATTATCAGTAAATGGCTATTTAATTAACATTTCTTACCTGAACTCCAAAAATGTAGTTATGCAAAACATAAATCAATCCAAACATACACAGAACAATCCATATATCGGTTATTTTTCTTGTATGTCAACATCACAACTTGAATTTATCCGCCATGTTTACTGACCTTGATCGATCTTATTTTGGGACAGCCAATGAGACTAGGGATCTTTAGGGAGCGGATATCTGTAGGAATTACCTTATTTTAGGCAAAAATATCGCTGTTTACGAAAAAATGTCACATGGAATAGTTTTATTTATCAATATTTAGTGATGCCATACAGCACAATCATTTAGTAACCCCGAAAAACTACTTTACAAAGTAATTTATAATTTTCAAGCGCAAGTCTCAGTGCATCACGTGAGAACTGTCATGGCTTCTGATGAGAGCGACTGGGAAACAAGCAGATTTATTTTATCTGGTTTTCGCGTTTAACGGGCTATGTTGTTGACAGTGAATAAAAATTTCGCCTTTTTAGAAGTAAGTTGAATGTAAAAACAATTTATTTTGCCTGCATTCGCCCGTATTTAAAAAATATATTTGCACCATTACAGAGATGTTGTGGAATTGTAGCCCTCTCCAGAAAATATCAGATAAAAAAATCGGAGAGGGCTACATTATTGCAGCTAGTCTTAAAATAAGACTTACTGATGAAAGGAATTAGCAGCTGATAAAAAAAAAATGCCATGGCCAAAGAAGGAAAAGCAAAGCTGAAACGCCCAACTCATCAACTTTTTGTAACAATGTAACAAAGAAGATTTTGCCCTTCATCTTTAATATCCTGCTTGTAAATGAATAATTTACTCACATCAACATTTTTCGAATTATATCAGGTTCAATATCTGGGATATTGATTTCCATTAAAGTTCTCTGGCTTGTAAGTTTAGAATGGAAAACTGCACTGCGACTTATCAGCATGTATTTGTGGGCTTTAATCTTTTCCCTCCCCACAGCAAGTGTAACATCACACTCTACTTGATGCTCAAGCATGTACTTATTGCATTGTAACACAGTCCGGCCCGTGCGCCAGTCCGTGTTTGCACTCAAAGCCATTTTGTTGAAGAGAAGTAGACTTATATTTCTAACATATAAAACTTTTGCTAACAGGAAGGACCCAGCATCTGAAAATATAAATGTAACAATTTGAGGATTTTAATAGTTCATAATATTTACATAGCTTACTTAAAATAAAAACAATGTAATCTCAATAATTGAGAAAGATTTTGCACTGTCATTTTGATAAAATGGATGAAAATAATCTCGGATCATATACGATTTTCCAAACAGTATTTGTATTTTTTGTTTGCTTGAAATCTTGTTTTGCTTTGATCTTTCAAAACACATACACTGCATACCTAACTCATGTAAGTAAAACTTCTGTTTCCTCCTTCTTATACATGTACCTTTATCTCCATACCCTATTTGTTAAAATAGTTGCTCTGATGTAAATGACAAAGAAATGACAGGTTTTATTTTTTGTTTGTTTGTTTTTTTAGAGCGGATTGTATCAGTTTGTGACATTTCGAAGTTTGCAAATTAGCACACGTGTATATATCTTTTATACTGGATACATACTCATCTATGCATTGCAATATTCGTTATATTGTAATTCCTTGAAAATAACATTGACTTTCAATGAGTACGTAGTAATCATATCTTAAATTCTGATCAATATTGAGAGTAATGCATTTAATTCGGATTTGCAGACAAAAACGTCAATCTTTGTAGAAAGAAGTCTACTTTCGTTTTGATTAATGCTTGATTCCTTTATGCTTTATGTTGTCATTTATCTTTTATTCTATATCGCATAACAACTCACCTCAACAAATCATATAAAAATATTATGATTCTGCTTTTTCTCGTGGAAGTCAACGAGTCAGTACTTCATTCTAGGAACATCAAATCATTGAAAATATTGTTCTTTAATTTTTTTTAGAGGTTCGCCATGTTGCTTTTCAAAGGAAGATAACTCGAATATTGATATAAGAAAGGGAAGAAAGGGAAATATTTTCCCATTGCTTTTCATTTGCTAATGATTTAGTTCAAAAGCTTACATTTGGGGGAAAAAAAACAAGTCATCTCTCCGTGATTTGAAAATGTTATTTGAACTCAATAAAACGAACAAACACTATTTAAAATATTAATAATATTAATAATTAATTATTTATAATTATTAATTAAAATATATAAAAGTTGAGAGAAGACCCAAAGACCATGAAAATGAACTTTTTCCTTTTAAAAAATCACATTGTGTAAATGCGCTATTAAATTAATTATTGATTTAAAAAATCTATTAAATTAATTATTGTTTTAAAAATCATTTCCAGTTTGCTGCGACGATAATACATGTATAATATGTGATACACAAATATATGATACATGTATATGTGTTTGCCAGTAAACTGAACAAGGAAATGATAAGTTTAAGTACGATCGTCGAACGCAGCATTTTTTTAAATCGAGTCCCCTGAGAGCGAAAGCATGGATGTTTTCACCGCCCATTGATTTTTTCTTTAATTTTTTCTATTCTATTTTTTATTTTCATTTAACTTTACCCTAAGAAATCGCAATAAGACTTATTAAATATCAATTACATTTTTTGACGAGGTACATGTATTAATTCATAATGTGTGTAATATTTTTCTCTACGTGAGTAACTTTCGTAATTATGTCCAGCTCAGTGTTGTCAGCCGTCCAATTCGTCCGCTTAACTGGGCATTAAACTATGAAAGAAGAACGATTTCTGCAAATTAGAGATCAAGTACGTATCCATGTTTCATAGTTAAGTTTCAAAAAATCGAAATATCAATTTGATGAAAGAGCGTCAAAGTATAAAATACGATGTACATGGTAGTACTTTATTCTCTATTGAGAAGTTGATGGCTCGTTTAATACTCCCCTTGAGGGGGAGTATTAAACGAGCCATCAACTTCTCAATAGAGAATACTGAGGTAGTACTTAAGCCTCTGTTAACTATAGTTAGCTAGATAGAAAAATTCGTATTTAGGCTGCTCGGTTTACTTTTCACTGTTAAATTATTAGTTTAAATTAGAAAATTTGAAACATAATGGTTTCATTGATGTAATGACCCCCCCCCCCCCTTTGGGAGGGGGGGGGGGGTTGGTTCATGGTCAATATTGCAAAAGTTTGTTCACGGCGTAACAATGCCACAAGACGTCACAATATTAGCTGACGTCATAATACTGCTAAGCATATCTTTTGTATATCGCAACAACAAAGTTGGGTGTAATACCATGGGTTGCTTCAGCAGCAAAGTTGCGCCTTTCCCTCCTGTTGATCGTGTCCGAAACAAGAAGGAGCGGAAAATGTTGAAAAAGATTCTGAAAATGCAGGGCATTAAAGCAAAAGTGTCGAAAAGTGGGGTTGCTTTTGATATTCCAGTCTCAAACGATTTCAGAAGGCCAAAGCTTCCCCCTACGCGTATCGGAATCAGTACAAAGCAAAGTTCACACAACCACCTCTCAACTCCTGGTGTGAATTAAATTGGTCTAGGGCGTAAGTTTTATGTATTTACATGCGTATCAATAAACAATCTTACAGTTCTTACGTATACGACATTTATCTACCGCATTTCTTGGTGAATTTTTTCTACTAGTAATATAATAATATTTTTTCAGGAGAAAAGACAATTCTTCAAAGACTTGAAGAAAAACAAGAAAAGGCTAGACTAAGAAGAGAGGAACAACAGAAGGCAATGAAAGAAAAGATGAGACGCCAATCTCTCAAACGTCAAACAAACTATAAAGTTGGTGTTTTGTTTCATCTATTAGATTTATTACAATGAATCAATATGAATAAAATTGTTTTTGTTAATTTGTATTTTTTTATGTTAACGTCTGCTGGTCAACATATTACAACTGTTGTGAGGAAGATGGATCTAACATTTATCGGCCACTGCAGCGGCCGATCTATTTGTGGTTGTGCTATAAAGTGCTCATGTGGAAAGAGACGTTATTTCTTTGTTAGTTCAGTAAAATAATTCTTAAATGATAACATGTATAAAATCATGAAATCAAATATTTTATAAACTTTATAATTAAAAAAAAAAATCAATATTTATGTTTTTAATTAGTGATTTTGAAGGAATGGAGAAACTAATTATTCTTCTTGTTTGTTTTTCATTTCTGGGCACGGACTAAATCACGAGATGGTTAATTAATCCCTTGAAAAGTTCATGGCTTGTGGTTAAAATATTTGGAAAACACTATCTAAAAATTTCTTTCAATGAATTTTGAAATCTCACCTCCTGTGGCACAAACACCTCCAGAATGAAACCGCCACATGACGGCTGCTATATATGCTGTGATGCGAGGGGAAAAGGCACTGCAACTGCTGTTGCTAGTTTACTTGTCATGGGCCTTTTGTGAATTTGTCACATTTTTTCTTTTGGCAAAACATAGTTTCGTTCAAATATTCTACTAAACCATAATAAGAAATGAAAAAAAGGCCCTAGATGTGCATGAAGTCTGTTAGATTGTTTCTAAATTCCATATGCAACATGAAGTATACGACTTAAATCTGTTATGATTTTCTGAAAAATAAAAGAGACATTAAGAAGCAAGATTTTTATTTATTATTGAAAATTAACAATGACTACAAATCATCATAGGCAATTTTGACAAATAATTGCACATTTTAAAAAGCACCAGATGACAGAAATAGTATTACAATGTATTATAAAAATAGCATTGATTAAACAGGGAGTGATCTACACCCCATATTTCTGTTTGATCCACACCTCTTTTGAGTCCCTAATCTCTAATGAACTAGCAACAAATGAAAAATCCAGAACAAAAGGGAAACACTGAAGGTTGTGGACAATGGAATCTGTGCTGAGCTATTGAAAGAAATGTCAGGGTTGCCTAGTGATTATTTAAAACAAACATGGCCGAGAAAGACCAAATGAAGACTACTTCAGGCTTTAGAAAGCATCAACTATTCTGAAGAAAAAAAAATCAGATATGTGTGCAAGCTCATGATGTAAAAATAATCTGTACAAGTATGTAGTTAAAGAGGGAAAAAATGGCAATAAAACTGACAAAGAGGTAGGCAGCAATTGTGTGCACATGTTCACTTTTTCCCATATTTGGTATCAAAAAGTTAAAGTATAAATTAGATTTCATTAATATATATATATAACTTATAATCAGGATAATCTCAATATAAATAAAAAAAAATTATGCACCTGTTTTACCAGCTGTCAGAATATACATGTCAGCTGTACAAATATAACAGAATAACCTAATTTAATGTGGTAGAGTGCAGTAAAATTTGTAAAGATTTATACACAATAGAAATGGTACAAAATCAGAATCTCATAAACACTGCCATTGTGGTATCTTTAATTTATTAGCTGTATAAACAAAATTTTTCTTCTTTCCAACCCCCCCCCCCCCCCCAAAAAAAAAAACTTTGAAAATGAATTACTGGAAAAATTGATAGGGATTTTAATTTTGTGTGTAATAGTAATTAGTAATAAGTATTGTATGTTATTATAAATAAAAAGGTTAGACAGCCTACTGTTTTTTGTGTTCCAGTAACACCTTCATTAAAGCATTTCTATCTTTTTAAACATTCCCAAAGATTTTTAAAAATCTGATATTATCTGCAGTAGGCCCTTTGTACTAAGATATGCCAAACATCAGGTCCAAAGACCATAAACTAAGAACAGACTTAAAGTCCACAATTTTAACTTATACATGTATAACTTTTGAAATAGTTTAGACATTTAAACAAAATTTTCATAACTTTGAATATGAATATTTTAAAAATATGTAGATTTTTAAACACCTAATGTTCAAAATCAAAATTTTAACTTTAAGTCTCTTCTCAGTTTATGGCCATGAGACATGGGATATGTTGAGGGCCAGTCTGCAGTCTCCTACTCATATCCGAGTCTGAACTTCAATATCCAGAACACTTGGATATCCTGACTTTTTGTATGTGCTGCAATGTGCAACTTTAATAAATTGCTGGAATTCTATTTACATTTTATATTTTAAATACCCTTTTTATTTTCCTTGAAGGTACACGTTTTATTTATATCCTAATCAGAAAATGCTGAGCTTCTAGTACATAATGTATCCAAATTGACGAATTAATCAGGATAATAAATAAAGTGTGTTAAAATGGTAATTCTTGTGAATAAATAGTCAAATAAAAAAACTTGTTTCTTCCTTCCTACAATTTTGTGATGGTACATGTATTGGCAAAACAATTGCTTGTCTTTTGAAGTGTCATTCTTTGAGAAAAAATACTCCCAGTACTAAATCTGTGGTTGATATTTTTATCAAACTAACATACTGTAATAATAATTAAGCACCATAATCTCTGCGGTGGAATGAAATCAAGTTAGAAAAAATATCTGTAATACCGTAATATTTTAAATTGGAGGTATACATGTACAGAAATCTGTAGTTTGATAGCAATGAATTTTTTTTTTTCAGAAAAAAATAAAATGTTTTACACTTATACTACAGAATAAGTTCTCAGCCAAGAACAATTTAGCCTACATTGAAGAAATCCTGGAATAGTGGCCAATAATGGGTATATTGTCTCTTTTATGTAACAGTATATCCAAATATGAATAAGATAGCCTTCCTTTAAAATTTACTTGTTGCAAATAACAAACTGTCAGATTCACATTTCAATATTAAAAGTAATTGCAAATAAATTGCAATTAATAGTAATTAATTCAAAATGGTAATTCACTGACATTTGAACTTTAACTTCATTTTTACATATATTCATGCAATCATTACACACACGTATAACATTATTCACCAATTGTTAACAAGTTTCACATATATTATCAATAATATAATGCATTAAAACATACATATAACAAGCGAGAGAAAAAAAACCAAAACAAAATCACACAGTCACATTCTATCACAGAAAAATGCCAACTTAATCTCAACTTGCTTTGATAATTTATCACATATACACTGTAACAATCCTGACTGGGACTGAGCATTGGTATTTACATGGTGCTGTAAAATGGATTATTTCTTCGATATTCCAGTTTTGTAAGTGGGTGACTCCGCCCTTGAAGCTTGCGGACTTTTCTTTTCTCCTTGGCAACTTCTGAGTCTGCATCATCTGTACTCTTCCTCTGTTGCATTCTAGAGTTCACTTTCTCTCTCAGTGTTCCTAAGGTACATCCAGGAGTGGTGTTGGATCTTTTAAGTTCTGCAGACTGAGGTCTTTTAGTGCAATAGAGATTTGTTTTTCTAAGGTTTTCTTTGACGTACCGTAATTGTGTATTGTCTGAAGATTCTGAGTCACTCTCCTTATTTGCCTCATTTTGAGCAGTAGCAAGGCTTTCGACTTTTTCCGGTGGTTCACTTTTGCTCTTCATTTCTAAATCAGGTCCACATTTTTCTAGTGTGTCACTTTTCACATTTAAATTCATTTTTCCTTTAAATTCAACAGGCTGGAATTTCCCAACCAAATTATGCACTTTATCTATATGATCCTCAGACACTGTGCAGTTTTCTGGAGGTGTACCAGATGGCAGAGTTAAAGGATATACCTCATTCCTGATTTCAGTATTCTGGTCACTCAATTTCTGTGGTTGAGATCCTATGTTATCCTGACTCAGGGTCCCTTTGTCCGAATCCTCCAGCAGAGATATTGGTTGGCTGGTTGATTTGGCCACTGTTCTTTTGAGGTAACTTTTCTCCTCACTGGGATCCTCCTTTGTTGGGGTAGGAGCACTGAATCTCCAGTTCCTCTTCCTTCTAGCCTGTGATTCTTTGTCGATAATGATGATCTCTCTATCAGGTTTCCTTTCATTTCTCTCAATGTCTCTAACAAAATGCTTCACTAGACTAAAATTTCCTTTACTATCCAAATCTGTGTCTGTCTCTATTTTACACTTAGCAGGACTGTTCATCAAAGCAGACCCAATCTCTCGAATGAGCTTCAGAGTCTCTGGGTCAAACCTAGCCTCACTTTGAGATTTCCTTTTTGGCCTCCTTGATACCTCAGGGCTCTCAAGAGGGATAGGAGTCTCAAAAGTCTTTTTCCTTTCTGCAAAAGAACACTTTGGTGATTCTGGAGATTCCCCACTTTGATTGGTGGTCCTTGAAGAATCTCCAATCTTGGGACAAACTTCATGCTTAGGAGTCTCCCCACAAGAAGGGCTCTTCTCAAAATTTGATTTGATTTCATTCACTGACTGTTTGGATGTACTCTCTTCATTAGTTGCATTATTATTGGCACTAATATTTGTGTCTGAGGCACATTCACTGTTATTTGGCACATTTTTTACATTCTCAGACTTAAGGTCATCTTTTATCAAAACTTCTGATTCAGTACTACTAGGTTCATCAGGTGTAACCTTCAGTTGATCTTTGGCATCATTACAAGGAGAACTCTGTCGACTCTTTCCTTCGATTCCTGCAAATGAAATAAAAATTTAAATCACTCTAAGAATGAAAGAAAAAGTGAGCAAGCTCACATACCCCACGCTCCCCCAAAACTCGACAATGCAACATGTACTGAATAGCACAGTGCATTTTAAATACACAGTATAATTCAAAAAGGGGCATTACTTGCAAAAAATCATCACATCAAAAACTTCTTGCATATAAGGACATTCAAATCTTTGCATGTTACAAATTTAATTGGGCTGAAGTTTCTAGATAAATAATGGAATAAAAATTTCTTGGTAATATACAAATCTATACATTATGTCTGAAATACCTACAAAGTTTCAGTAAATTCAGTGCAGGAGTTATGCTGACAAACTGTTATTTAAATTCCTCAGTGATTTTGATTTGTTAATGAGTGTAAGTCCATGGGGGTGGGTGGGGGGGGGGGGGGGGGGTGAGAACTATCCAAGATTCAAGATTTTGTGTGTGTGTGTTAAATCATTAATATTTTGATCTCAAAATCAATAGGGGTCTTTTAAGGTCATAAATTATTTCTCATAAAATGTCATTACAAAGGCTGATTCCAGTGTGGATTTCCTTATTACCTAGCTGGAAAGTTTCTTCAATAATAGGCAAAACTCTTAGGGCAAAAATAATGGAATCAGAATTTCCTGGTAATACGCACATCTACACACTGTGTCCTAAATATCTGCAAAGTTTAACGAAATTCTATGCAGCAGTTTAGGAGGAGTTGTGCTGACAAACTGTTCATCTCTATATTCAAGATACGGCCAAAAATCTAAGTTGAAAAGTGCCAAAATTCCCAGAAAAATAAAGGAATCAGAATTTCCTGGTAATATGCACATCTACAAATTGTGTCCTAAATATCTGCAAAGTTTGACCAAATTCTGTGCAGCAGTTTAGGAGGAGTTGTGCTGACAAACTGTTCATCTCTATATTCAAGATATGGCCAAAAATCTAAGTTGAAAAGTGCCAAAATTCCCAGAAAAATAAAGGAATCGGAATTTCCTGGTAATATGCACATCTACACATTGTGTCCTAAATATCTGCAAAGTTTGACCAAATTCTGTGCAGCAGTTTAGGAGGAGTTGTGCTGACAAACTGTTCAACTCTATATTCAAGATATGGCCAAAAATCTAAGTTGAAAAGTGCCAAAATTCCCAGAAAAAATAAAGGAATCGGAATTTCCTGGTAATAAACACATCTACAAATTGTGTCCTAAATATCTGCAAAGTTTGACCAAATTCTGTGCAGCGGTTTAGGAGGAGTTGCGCTGACAAACTGTTCATCTCTATATTCAAGATATGGCCAAAAATCTAAGTTGAAAAGTGCCAAAACTCCCAGAAAAAATAAAGGAATTGGAATTTCCTGGTAATATGCACATCTACACATTGTGTTCTAAATATCTGCAAAGTTTGACCAAATTCTGTGCAGCGGTTTAGGTGGAGTTGCGCTGACAAACTGTTCATCTCTACATTCAAGATATGGCCAAAAATCTAAGTTGAAAAGTGCCGAAATTCCCAGAAAAAATAAAGGAATCGGAATTTCCTGGTAGTATGCACATCTACACATTGTGTCCTAAATATCTGCAAAGTTTGATGAAATTCTGTGCAGCAGTTTAGGAGGAGTTGCGCTGACAAAAAAACAGGCATGACGGACTGACTGACTGACTGACTGACTGACGGGTCAAAAACATTATACCCCCCGCAACTAGTTGTGTGGGGTATAAAAATGGATGTACATATAGATTATACATGTATTTTAAGTTTCATAAAATATAATTTTCCTGTAAATATGCCATGAACAGTGTCTGCTAGCATACATATCATTTAGTCTTATCCAGTATTTGAGTAACTATGAAATATCACTATGCAAGAAAATCAGTCAATGGATTCCTATATGCTAAATTGAACTTAAATACCACCCCCACCTTAAACTCATATTAAAAATTTATTCACTTGTTTTCTGACTGTGTAGGATGCCCTCCCTTATATTTACCTTCTCTCTGCTTCCTCACAATGCCCTTTTCTACAGTAATTTCTTCCCCCATCAGTTTGTACACAGCTTGTTTGGTTTCTGGTGATTTCTCCTCTGTACCAGGCTTGGAAGAGAACGTTTCCCCTGTACTGTGTCTCCTCCATTCAAAATCCACCTCCTCCTCAGGACTTCTGGGGGAACTGACTAGGACTGGGTTACAGGTCTTACGACGTTCACGGTCCATACGCCGACGTCTCACCTTGTCTCTGGGACTCTTTAAACTTTCTGATCTCTGAAGTGGAAGTGGAGGTAGGTCCTTATTTCTCAAAAACCTATTTCACAAAAAAAAAGAAAAAAATGCACATTAACCAAATACACTTCATGTAGACTACAACCTAAAGAATATCTAAAATATAAGTCTCTTGATTTACTCTGTAACTTTGGAATAAGCAAATTAGCATGAGATACAAAACATAAATGTTCTGGTGGCATAAAAAGAAATACTCTACCCATGCTTTTCCTCTATTTCCTTGAGAGTTCTTTTTACAGTTCCAGGTGCCAAAGGAATTTCCTCTTTTTCATACACAGATCCGGAATTTCTGCTACTCTCTGATGTAGGAGTGCATGTGTCCCTACCATAATCCGAGCTCTCTGACACTGTAACTCCAGCCAGATCCAGCTTCAGATCCGGTTTTGCACCAACATTCTCTGCACCCTTTATCACAATTATCTGATCAGGAATGAAGCTCTCTCCTCCTACCAAAGGTTCAGTCTTTTTGCCTTCAATGTTTTCTTTTGTCTTTTTCACAGTCCCTGGATTCCAGGGAATGTTTTCTTTCAAATGAACAAAGGGACTGTTAGTTTCCATAGCACTATCATCGGATTTGGACACTTTCTCTTCCTCCTCTGGACTCTGTTTTGACATTTCTCCATTATCAGCAGCAATGACCTTCACTTCCACATCAGACTTCTTCTCTTCACTTTCTTCTTCTTTCTCAGCTTCTCCCCTTATCCAGCTCTCATCTGGCTTAATAATTTTGAATGTTGGCAGTGAAGATGACATTGGCTTGTTCCAATCTATCTCTTCCATGCCTTCCGACTGGTGACCATCATCTTCCTCCCCTATGTAGTAGGCCAGATCTTTCTTTGAGGCTTCCTCTTCTTCAGGTTTGGGGGAGGGATGATCAGACAGGGAGTCTTCTGCTGAGTCAGCACTTCTGGATTCAGCCTCCATATCTGGTTCCATGTGGCATGGTTCATAATCTGTGAATAGGAGTGTAATTCACAAACTACTGTTGTCAAGAATTGTGACAAAGATGTATCAAGAATAGTGACAAAAATGTACAAACATACGGCAAGCACAGTAGAAAAAAAAACTAAAGATGAAGTTTGACAACTATGAAACAAAAAGTTCCTTGACAACTATGAACTGAGCTTTAAGATTATCAAATGGTTTTCATATGAAAAGGACTTAAAGAAGCAACTTTGCCCATTGTCTAATCCATTTACATGTATGTATATACTAGACGTATACATAATATTGTTTAATTTCATTGTTCTCAAGATACTGAAGGAAATATATTAATGTGGTTAAGTCAAAATCCATGCAACCTTTGACCTTATTGGATAATTCAGTAAATCCATAGAAGTCATCTTCTTACATGGCCAACATGTTTCCAAAATTAGATTACATGTACTGCCAAGCTAATTCCTAAGATATTGGTTGGAAACCATTGGTTTACCAACTGGCTGAGGACTGAACCAACTGACCGGCTATAATTGTAATACAGCACTGAACAGTACACGTACCAGGATGATAAAATACAGAATTATCCAGGCCACCTGGCATACTATGACACCTGGTCATGTCAGTCTCCGTGAAGAGGTGATGATGATGATGTCTGTTGAAGCCCACATCATCTTCCTCCATGGAAGCATCCAGTAAGTCTTGTTGGGACTTGCTTTTAAACAGCTCAAGTTTTCTCCTACAATTTTTCAAAATTAATCATGGGTATATATATGTTTACATTTAAAAATCATTTTCAATATTTTTTTCTCAAAACACTCAAGGTAGGCTTTAAATTTTTACTTTATTTATTTTTTTTTTTATTCAATAGATACAAGTATTTATTATATCAACATTTATCAAAATAAAAAAAAAATACACTGTAAATCAAAAATATTATGGGGCTTCATATTCAAATCCCCTTAAAATACTTGTATGCTATGAAGCCAAAGGAAATTTATATTTTGAAAAGATTTCTAAAAACAATTTCATTGGATTAAATCAAGAGGTGTATTGTGAAACACTATGCTCTAAATTAAAGATATGGTGATCTGATTTAAAAAATTTTCACATTTATGTTGATGCATTGGGTATAGGAACAAAAAAAAAGTGTCAGCCTGAGACTAATCAATTATATGTGAAACAAAATGCTCCATTTGGCAAAATGAAGGCTGAAATCAAATTATAAAACAGGTTTACAAATGACATCATACAACAAATAGGATTTATTTGTTGAAATTTTCCCAAAATAAAATACAAAAGGAATTGGTGCATTAAGTGTCAAGGAAAGATTAAGGGGAGTAAAAGTACCTTAATTATTATTATCATCAACAAATATCAACACAATATCCAGACAGCCAAAATGTGGAGATATACCTTAGTATACATACCCCCAGTTATTTCACAACCTCTTTTTCATAAATCTTTGCTCTGAATAAAAGTTACACCTAATGTAATTTTACTGTTGTCTTCAGTCTGTTTTGCCATACCTTGTGTGCTTGTTTTAAAATTGCACTGATATGATTTTTCAAATATTAATGCCATTAAAAAGTAACTGTAAACATAACAACTTACTTGGCTTGCAGTATGCCTTCGTAAGTTTCCAGCTGTTTCCAGAAGGCGGAGTTTGGCATTATACAGCTACGTTTCTCCTTTACGTAATCATACGCTTCCTGTCTCGACATCCTATGCTCCTTCATAAGGTACGCCATCACCTAAGTATGAACAAGTTAAGGCTGAATATACAAGCTCTATTCTTCATAACTTAATGGTGAAATCAACTTTGACAGTGCTAATAATATAAAAGTAGTAAAATTGTCTGGGAAGTTATACTGAAACTTACAGTAGATGCAGATCTGCTGATCCCCATCTTGCAATGGACTAAAACTTTTGAATTTCGATTCCTGGAAAAGATACTTTCTTTCTAAGGAAAACTTAACCTGTATATTCTCTATACAGATGTACATGGTCTTTATAATAAGCAAAGAAATATATACATGTGTATTTCAAAAAAGTGTGTGTACTGTCACACTTATTAAGAACTAGAACTGCTGACTAGGATTTATATTTCCCCTCCCATGGGGGCATTCTCCCATGTATGCAAATTTGTTATAGAAATCAAAATTGATAAGCTTGGAATCAACCAAAACACTGTTATTAACCAGAGTTCAAAACAAATAAAAAGACAGGTGCACACTGTGATTCCAGTTCAACCCCCCAACAACATTGTTGCAGGGGTAAATATATAAATTGTCAAGCATGATTTACCTAGCCTCCTTGATGAACATAAATGTTTTGTCCCAGTGCTTCATGAGGTCCGTTTCTTCAGAATCCCATTCACGGATGTTCTGGTACACGAAACATCCAGGGAAAAAGTTGTCAATCTCTCTGCTTACATTTAGAATGTGTCCCACACTAAAACACAGAGAAAGTGCTGTTAAATAGACTGGCTTTTATATACATATGTGTACAGAATTCTGTTTCCTTTTCATGCATGTTTTGCACAGAGAAGAGATTCTCTATGATTTTTATCCAATATATGAATTTCTTTAATGAATTTTTTTATAAATATTTCATTATAATCTATTTCAAAAATGAATTTAACATTATATTTATCAAGAACTACATTCCACTTATCTATAGATGACAAAAAATCTCTTTCTTCAGTGTGTAATCTTCACAGGTGAGAATTCAACCATTTTTTGTCTGGAAATCTTACTAAACTTGACTTCCTGTGACATGATTATCATGGCTTCATTAAGGCAGTGTAACACCTTTAAAATACCAGTAAAATTTACCCATTGTTGTGGAGTTCTTCCATGTTGGAAGCATTCCACTCTGAACCGAGGTAGAGGTAGTCCTCAATTTTAGTTGGCGAGTCCATCTGTCCCAAAATCCTCATCATTTCCTGGTCAACATAACTCTTGTACTCCGATAAATCCGTCCCCATAGCTTCCTCAAGCTCTTGACGTATCTGGGATAAACATTTTTAAAAATTTATTTTCTGTGAAACTCTTTATCTTCTTGCTTTCAATTATTGCAAACTACTCCATAAAACTCAATGATAAATACTTAATATACGTACCTAAGTATTGTTAGAAGCACTTTAGTTTTTAAGTAGTGCAAGGTTTACATCTGAAGTGATTTGTGTGTCTTGCCTCTGTGACTCATGTACTTTCATTATGCATACTAATTATTTGTACTAATTACACTCACCTCTTTACATGTAGCTTCCTCTAGATCCATTCTCATCATGACATTCTTCAGCTCTACATTCAGTCTCTTCTTAAACTGTGACTCCTCACTAAAATCACAGAATGTTACAGATATACACATGCATGTAGATTACACATATCAAACTCAGATCAGCTGAAAAATTGTGGAGAAAATACATATTTCTTGAACCTTTTACAAGATTTTCATCTATGATAATAGAAAAAAATGAAATTTACCGTATATGTATTTATGGAATACTTACTCATCAGTTTCAACAAAAACTGGCATTGACTTGAAAAACTCTACATCTTCATTAGTGTGCCTGAAAGGACATGAAAGAAATACATATGCCATCTATCTGATCTAACATCGTTCTTAAAAGTACAAAAAGTGTTTGTTTGGATGTATTTTATCACAAAAATGTGACATTTCTGTACAGGTAGCCCATTCTAGAAATTTACATAGATTTGAGAACACTTCAAATAATAGATAAAAAGCTGGAAAAAATGAAGTTAATATCCTTTACATATAAAAATGTTGTCAATTGAAAAGTAAATAAAAAGTTGAATGAATGCAAAAATCAACGAAATCTCACCATTCTGTGATTTGGGTGAGACTGGATCTTAGACTAGAAGATTCATAATACCCTGTCCAAGTATGTGACAAGCCTGCAGGAATGTGGCGATTGTCACGAGCCATTTTAACAATCTTATTGAGACTCTGTAAAGCTGACCTGAAACCATCAAAACCCTGCATTTATGTCATTTTCATGATAACTGCATGTGTACATTGCAAAATCTAAAGACTGATAACGAAGAATATCAAACATTCAGGTTTTAACTTTAATAAATTTATCTAAAGAGTTCAGCTACAAAATTCTCCTTCTGTTGTGAAATGAATATTAAGTAACTTTTTTCTACCTATTCTGTGTACAATCAAGTTTCTTACCACATTGCCTGAACACTCTTACTATTATTTGTTGAGTATGAGTTTATTACTATGGGGCCTATACAGATTCTACCTATTCTGGGTATAGTATAAGTTTATTTACCACATTGCCTGTACACTCTACCTATTCTGTGTACAGTACGAGTTTCTTACCACATGGCCTGTACACTCTACCTATTCTGTGTACAGTACGAGTTTCTTACCACATTGCCTGTACACTCTACCTATTCTGTGTACAGTACGAGTTTCTTACCACATGGCCTGCACAGACACCGGTTTGAAGACATGTAGCTTGCCATCTGAGGACACAATAAAACCACTATAAAGGAAAAGAAGAAAATCACATCAAATAAATGTACTGACATTAACACATTAAATATATGTCCTGACATTAACCGCATTTATAGATGACATTGATGTAGCTGGCACTTAAGTATAAAAAAAAAGAAGTATCCTCTCCCCAAAAACAAGTTTATCTGTCCCCTTTGATTTGTATGCACACTGTGTTCCAATTTTTATACCAAAAGACTTATGTTAACCCAATATGTAATACAATGTTAATAATAATGTGAACAAGTACCAGCTGACACATGAGAATTAAATGTGATAATGAGTTGAAAAAATGTGAAAATAAAAGCGAAAATACAAAGGACCAAAGTCAGTAAACCTACCCATCGCCATCGAGTTTGATGGAGGTGTCAGAGAAGATGGGGTATACCAGCCCTATGGTGGCTTTCTCCTGACAGTCAATCCCCAATATCACCGACTCCTCCTCGTCCTGGCGACCCACACATGACACCACCGCCATGTACCGTGGGTTACCAGTGGGATTCGTAGTTTCCAGTCTCACAGCCTACAATGTGATTAGGATATTCAATTTCTAGCTATTAGCTACTTGGTCCTGATGAATTAATTAATTACATATACTTTATTTTCAAGCTTCATCAGTTAGGTGAGACCAAAGGAGTAAGTACCGGTACTATAAATCTATGTTAAGAAATAAATACGCTAGATTTGACTTCAACAATATTACACAGTCACTTTATCTTTTTTTAACATGTATCTGTAAAATGAATAATCTATGTTACAAACATTTAAAATTATAATTAATCCAAACATATTTCATGTTGTCAAAGCCATTCACCAAATCATTAAATGGATGACATACTGTAATATCTTGAAATACATATTAATTGTTCACTCTTTTTGAAAATGCATATATTCATTATGAAAATACATGTATAACTTGTTTACTTGCACAAGCACACAAAATGTATGGTTAGTAAAAGTGCCTAGCGTTTATGAAAAATATGACAAGGTTTCAATGCCCTAGACTACACCCACTATAATGTAACAGACGGTGCCAGCTGAACATCTAAGGTGACAGACTTATGGTGAAATCAACACTCACTATTTTTATTGTGTCCTGTGGTCTTAACAGGTAAAACATCGACTGCAGATGACTCTGTATCTCGTCTGTAATCAAACATGTGTTAATTAGTGATAATTATCATTGTGTCAACACTGACAATATGATATTGTGTAGAAAACAAGAGGTCTACACCCTCAAGATTTACCTAGAGCTCTCATAATTGGAAAATAAATTTATCTATATATTTTTTAATCATGGTACATATATTTGCAACATACATGTAGATATTCAAGTTTGTCTATTTCAGCTCAAAAGAAGTGCTATTTTATATTCAAACAAATTATAATTCTATATCAACAAATCTTAAATTTTTAGATTTCCCATGCATTCATTGTATCAGCTAGTTTAATGACATTTATTTTGAACAGTAATATCAAACCAAGTCTCTACTTTTTTTCATGAAAGAAACCTGTGACTTTAATTAAAATGTCAAGAAGGAAAAAAATTACTATAATTAAGATTTTTAATACAATTTTAAGTCTTACTGTCGCAGTTCTTTGTTATCCGCTTGGAAGCATATCCTGACTCTTGTTCATTCTGTGGCAGAATTAGTGCCGCCCCTTTGACTGTAAAGTAACTCTCACTAAAACTAGAAAATGAAGAAAAAAGTTATTATGAGGTAAGCAAGTATTTAAACATCATACATAAAGAAAATAATTATAAAAACTTGACAGAAAAGTGAATCAGACTTCATGTGATATAATACAGAGTAATGAATAATGCGTCAGATTTATTGATTTTTTTCTCTCTCAGATAGACACAGAGACTTTTTAATTTGTTTTCAAGTATATGATAATTGTAACAGTCATTGAACAAAAGAATGCACAAACTTATTTCTACCTTTAATATTAGATCATGATCCTGTAGAGTATTTGTCCCATCACCCTTATAATAATGGTATATAGGTAATAATCATATATATAAATACCAGAATAGAATATATTGTTTAATTATAGCAAGACATGATTAGATTACAGAAAAAGTGTACAAAGCATTATGAGAATTTTTTTTTTTTTTTTTTTTTTTTTTTAGATCTGTGCCACTTAGTTCTAGCTTTGACAAAAAAGAGGCAATTTCTTTTTGTCAAAAATAAGGTATATACAAGAATGTAATTTTTGGCACTATCTAGCTTATGTATTTGCACTTAGATTTAAAAACCTTGACTGCTTTTGTCAAAGTATTTAAGTGCCATGTGCTTAAGCTCAGAAAGGAACATTTTTCCCACACCCCAAATTTGATAACGTAAAAAAAATTATGACATGGATATATATATGTACAATGTTGTGTATTACCTGTCTTTCTTATCAAGTTCGTTCTAATGCAGCTAATTTATCAGGTATAAAAATTTGAACTAATTTGTGGTTTATCTTACGTCCAGACTTCATCAACATAGCCAATACATCTAGATGTCTGTTTTTATGTACCTCAGATACTATACAGATTATAAATGACGATCATGCTATGACTTTGCTACATGTACATGAAGATTGTCATGTATTATTTTTAGTATGATGGGAAATTCAGTTTGAATTCTTTCTCCTAAGGGAGCAGTCTTTCATGCAAGAAATTCCATTAGTAACACTATTCTTTTTATCAATATCATCTACAACAAATATCTCCATGCTATTTAGCATTCACTGAACATTCTCTATTGATAATCTAAATCATGATCAATGAAATGAAAATTATGCATACATGTATGTATTTCTATGAGGCGCCGTTTTGGTATTTACTGCCAAAAAGTGATATCACCTATTCAAATAGGTGATATCACCTATTCGAATAGGTGATATCACCTATTCGAATAAGTGATATCACCTATTCAAATTGAATAGGTGATATCACCTATTCGAATAGGTGATATCACTTATTCGAATTGGTGATATCACTTATTCGAATAGGTGATATCACTTATTCGAATAGGTGATATCACCTATTCGAAATGAATAGGTGATATCACCTATTCGAATAGGTGATATCACCTATTCGTGCTGAATAGGTGATATCACCTATTCGAATAAGTGATATCACCTATTCGAATAAGTGATATCACCTATTCAATTTGAATAGGTGATATCACCAATTCGAATAAGTGATATCACCTATTTGCATTTTTTACAACAATAAATAATGAATGCTCCCTTCCTCAAGATTATCTACATTTTCATTGGAACCAAGCAAATTCGGGCTGCATTAGGGTCTGTAAGTCTCGTCACGTGACTCGCGAGATTTTTCGATAATATTAACTTCCGGGTACCTCACACATGGAGATGCAAGATGTGTATTGGGTTATGCATGTTTATGGTTTACACAAAGCGTATAAGGAAAGTTTAAGCAGTTGTACAAAGCCGAAGGGTTCTCTGACTTACGATGGATAAATTGAGTGTCATAAAAGCTTGGGTGCGAGCAAGTAGGAGGAGAATTTCGATCGAAGTACAGGTAAACAAGTCAGAGAATGTCACCTGTTTCTTGGGTATTCTTTGGTGAAATAGAAGTCTTATATTATACATTTGTATCTGATTAGAATAGTTTTGTTATCATCATTACAACTAATTTATTAACAGATTTTTCTTGAATTCGAGGATAATGATGTTATTACCAGCTGATTAAGGAGGAGTAGTGTAAGTGTCAGATGGGTACGAACGTCATCTTGTGACAGCATCACCTTTGTTTGGGTAAATAATTTGTTCAGAATACGCTTCATTTATCAACAGAAATTAAGCTGTTGCATGTCAGTGGGTCTAGTTTTATAAGTATTCAATGTTTGAAAGCACTTATCAGGTCCAGTACAATCTTTTGATTTAGCTATATAGCTTTATTAAGCTATTCAGAATAGATAGAACGTTCTATCGTTAAAATGATATTGTCCTATGGACCCGGTTTAACGATAGAATTTGTTCTGTGTATTCGCAATGTAGCAAAATAAACACGGGCAATAACTCGAATTCTCTGCATTTTGTATGAAGAATCCAGAGAGTTCCGAATGTCAACATGGCGTTAAATTTGAAGCGAGGAAAAAACGTTGAGAAAATGAGTTGAATTTTCGTATATATATGGATTTATTTGTAGGTTAAAAGGCATATACAATCTCAAAAATGTTTGTTATGATTAATTTGGTAGTTATTTTCAATGCAACTCCTTTTGTATTCTTCAAAATCATTTCGGAGTGGATCCACTCTGATTTGCTACATTGCAAGTATATGGGAGGTATTCTAACTGTGGTGAGGGCTTGTCCCGAGACACAGTTAGATTATTCTAACTATATTCAGAATAGCTTAATTTAGCTATTTTATATCAGTTTTTCTTAAATGTGTACTTTTCTCAGCATGCACAAAAAGTCGCACCTTGGTGCAGTGATGATACTCAACCTTGAACTCATCTGAAATTGATGCATTATAAAACTCACTCATTAAAATCTCCTTGCATTCATGTAATAATTTTTAGGCCCAAATACTGTACAGCAGTCCTCAAAATACTGGAATTTGGGTGAAAATACTGTACATTGTTCATAAAAAAACAGTAAAAAATATCAACCAAAATTCAATGCAAGAGGTTCATTTTTAGCTCTTCTGAGCCAAAGGCCCAAAGAGCTAATGCTATGGCCATTTGTGCGGTGTGCGTAAAATTTTTAGAATATGGGCCATAACTCAAGAACCCTTTGGCCAATTATTGTCAAATTTGTCACAGGGTATCCTTGGGCCAAGGGCTTCCATTTATACTAAAACTAGGGTTGTGACCCTTAAACAAGGGGAGATAATTAGGAAAATAGAAACAAAAGAGACTTTGTACTCAAAGTTCTAAAAGTTTTTAGGCTACATGCGCAATTGATACAGTTACTTCTTCAATGAAATTATAAAGGAGGCCAATTATGGTCAAGAAGATAATTGATTGGTAATAATTCAGTACAATGAGAAGCAATCATACTTATCCATGCCTCAATGCACACAAGGTAGTGGACAGTTACTCAAATAATAGAAATTTATCTTTTGCTTAAAAGTATTCAAAAGTTGCAAAGTTGGAGATATCTTTGATTTTGCTTGTTGTTTCGATAGCCCATAGCACATATATGAATGGTCAAATACATGCGACTTTTTGTCTATTTCTTACCAAAATAATTTTTGTGAAAAACTGCATATAAATAGCTAAATTAAGCTATTTTGAATAGCTTAATAAAGCTATATAGCTATAATTTCAAGCTATATAGCTAAATTAAGAGATTGTACTGGACCTGCTTATTTCCCAACGATAAGACTTTCTTTATATATTCTGCAAATTCTCTCTGCATTTATCATTGAACAAAATTCATATGACTGCAATAATTATATGACCATACTCTTCAGTTCAGAGAGCATGTTATAGAGGATATTTTGGTTAAAGTTTTGGTCTGTTAAGGTTTCAGTCTGTTTCAGTGTTTGAAATATTCTTTCATCTTACACAATTGTATACATTAAAATTTATTTTATAGCTAAAGTACAAGAGAACTGCAGCATGTAAGACTACATGTACATCGACTTTGAATAATCTACCTGGTATATCCTCAAAAAGGCAACTCAAATACAGGTATGAAATTGATGTCACAAAATAAGTTTTTGGACTTACATTTACTCTTATAATTCATATACATATAAAGCATATAAAAAATAGAAAAGAATTAAAGGTTCATCAGGTGACAGCTCAATCATGTATGGAATATTATTAGGCCAAATAAAAAAAATATGTGTGGTTCCCGTTACCCGACCGTCCCTATTTTAGATCCCCGACCCTTAACTTTTTTCTGGCAATTTTCATATTTATTTTCCGGAATTTTCCGTGATTTCCGTCATCCACTTCGGTATTAGTTTTAGTTCCAGCAATGGTGACCTCCATGCAAAAATCGTTTCAACACGTAGTGCAAGTGTTTGATGGTGTTAAATCTAAAGCAAGCTAGCATGGCGCAGCAGTATACCTTTTTCCAGCGCCATGTTTTTTGTTTGTTTGTTTTTTGGTTGCCAAAATTAAATAAATATGCCCAAGAGTGGCGAGATTCAGTTAGTTGCTCTGTTTACAGCTGGTTTATAACAAGTGCATGCTGATTAGTCCCTTTATTATTAATGCACGCAAAGGTGTGAAGTCAGGATAGGAAATCACTTCTCGCTTGAAAGCACACAGACAGCTGGCCAGGTAACGTTTTTTGGAGTTAGAGGGAAGATAACATGAGAAAATATTTATTTGATTGCATTGATTACGCAAGAATTAGCCCAATGTGTAAGATAGATTAACTTGTAAATTATTAAATAATTTATATCAGGATCGTTTCTTTTAAACCAAAAGTAGAAAAAAAAAAGCAGTTCATGAGGAAACGTGAAAAAGAAGACTGCTGATTTCACCTGAATAAAGTCAACTTGCAAAACACCAATATATATGAGAAATGAGCTTGGAAGTATGAAGTCTTCAATGAGGCAAAAAGGTTTCATGAAAGGATTTAAAATTTTAATAATATTAAATATTTGTAATTCTGACGAATTTGAATCATTCTATGTCATCTTGCTTAGGTGATTTATTTTGTTTTAAACATTACTGTACAAAGTATAGGTGTCACATTCTTTTCCT